ACACCACGAAGCCGGGGCGGAGCCCCGTCAGGTGACCCAGGAGCTGGTCCTGGGGAAGCACCTTGGCGAGCATGGCCCGTACCTCCTTGCGCTTAGCCTTAAAATGCGGATGCAAATGCTGGCAGGGCGACTCGGGGCCGACCCAGTCGATCGCGTAACCATGGCGCAGCCAGGACATAACCTTAGGCCGTTGAGGCCAACGGGGAATGCTGCGAAGGTACTGGGACCACAACTCAGCAAAGTGATGCCAGTTCCCGGCCACAAACCGAGAGTCATCGAGCAAAATGGATTTCAGTTCGACGATCACGGCCTGGACGTCTTGACACGCCGACGCGTCACGGCGCTGCAAATCCTGCAAGAGGCGAAGAGCCCGAGCCAGATAGGCGCTGTGGGTGGACCACCTGCCGGCGGGGCCGCGCCGAGGCTCCGGTAGGGGGAAGTCGCGTGACATAGCAGGGAGACGCATGGCGGCAGGGGAAGAGAGGCCGTGCAACTCGTCCGCGGCGGGGATCTGGAGATCGAAGGGAGGGAAGGTACCCTCTTCCTCCTCGGAACCGTCAGGAGCTAGGAATGGGGCGTCGAACGGGAGGGAGTCGGGAGCACAAAACGGATCCGGGCTGGGGGCAGCCGGAAGCTGCAGCACCTGAGAGGAGGAGGGCGGGTTGGGCGCGGGCCGATCTCCAATCTCGGCGGCGCGACTAGGCGGAGGCGAAGGAGCCCGTGGCCGCGGCAATGCTCGCTGCGAGACAGGCTGGCGAGGAGAGGGTGGGAATGAATGGCCAGCGCGCGAGGAGGACCCGGGGACTGGCAGGGACGGTGCGGGAACCGAACTTCTGTCGCGAGGGCACACCGAAGCTGATCAGAAAGGTTACACATTACAAAGCAGCCCAGGGCATGGTACCCAAATGTTCACGACCGGTCCACACAACGTGCCACAGAACATGGGACCCGAGAGCGAGCTAACCAAGAACGCAAACACAGAGGAAAAACACACACCCGCCAAACCCATCAAAGTAGGGAACCGGCCAGAGACAAACCCGCCGACCCACGGGGACCCGGACAGACCAGAGGCGATGGTACCTACACGATAGGGGGCCCGCTGGGGGCCCCCGCTCCACTCCCGCCGCCGGATCCCCGACCACGACCTCCGCGCCCGCCGCCGCGAGGGAAGCCTCCGCCAGCGTCGTGGCCGCGATCGGCCGGCCGGTGGAGGGCCGGCGAGTCGGCGTAGAGCCGCGCGTTGTCGGCGATGACCGACGTAAACCGGGCGCGGAGCTGGCGCAGGATGTGATGAACATCAATGTAACCAGCCTCGTTCAGAGCGAAGAGCTCTGCTTCCAGCCCGGCAACCCACTGGGCGCAGGCCTGGTGATCAAATACCCGCGCGTGTGGGCTGGCCACACGCACGGCCAGGCCGAGGACCGGGGTGATGATGCGGAGGACGTTGTACAAGGCGGCTGGCGCCTGCTGCACGTCCTCCCCGGGGAACAGAACGGGCTCCACCCGCGCCAGGACTTGGTCGACAGTCTCTGCGGCGCACAGGAGGTTGACTCCAGGAGACTTGGAATGGATACCGATGAGGTTCCGAGCCGCAGAGTACAGCCCGCTCCAGGAGCCCTGGATACCGGCCTCGTCGTAGGCCAGAAAACGCCACCGTGCGTGGCGACTGCAGGACCGGAATGGCTGACAGCCACGTCCCAGCACAAAGCGCCGTCGCGGCGCGAGGACCCCCGTCGCGGAGGAGGATGCGCGAGTGTTGAACTCGTCTTCGGGCTCCCTCATCCAGTCCATCTCGAGGGGCGCCGAGGTCCCCCCCGCCCCAATAGGAGTGGGCGGAGTAGGGACTCGGGCGGGGGGGCGATGCAATTCGGGGTCGACAGGATGACTGCCCTCCCCCGATGCCGACGCGCCGACGCGGACAGAAGCAAGCTTCGGGATGCTAGATGCTGGTGCTCGAAGAGAGCGCGCGTCAGGGCCGTCAAGTCGAACGCGGTTCCTCTCTTCCACCATGGCTGCCTCCCAGGTGGCAGCTGCATGCATGCTGCGAGGAGATGCCTGTGGCTGGGTAGGCCGAGACCGCTTGGGCAGCTGCTCTGCCCGGCCTTGGGGCGGCTGGCGCCACCAGGCATTCTGTTGAGCCACGGATGGCGTGGCTGAGTCCACGCGCTCGCTCCAGCGACCGCGGAGTTGAGCCGCGACGCGGGCGGCGCTCTGATCCGCACGCCGTGGGCTGCGGAACGTATAGACAGATACACATTTACCCGGGGGGGGTAAAGTGTCGATGGGGAGGCGCAGCAATGGGACATGAAAACCGTCGCGGTCTCTGGCCTGCGGCCGGATCAAGGGGAGAGTCGCGTCCCTGGGCCGAATCCCGGGCCCCACGCTGAGGGAGGGGGGCAGGTCGCGCTCCTCAAGGCACTCGAAGTGAGTGTGAGCAAATACCCACTCAGGCGCGATGAGCGCCAGGCTAGTGTTGGTGGGCACCCACGACGAATCCTCCTGCAGTCGGGTTCGAGGCCATCGCGAGCCCAACCCCAACCGACGGCTATGTGCCGCCGTCGGGTCGGCCTGGCCAAAGGGCAAGGGGCGGGGCGAAGAGCCAGCACCTCATGCGACGCATACTGGATAATGTCGAAGTCTCCCATATGATCGCAGATGGTCATGGTGAGCAGGTACAGCGGTCTCGGGGGTGGCCCGAGAATGCGCGCGGCGGCGACCTTGAAGAGAGTATCCGCCACCGAGAACTCCTGCTCGAGGTTGTGAAACCGGAGAGGGAACTCGGCCGTCGCGGCGTCAGAGACGTCCTGAGCGGAGGATTGACCTCCGCCATGGCGCCACCTGCGTGGCGGGATATCACGCTGGAGACCGGTGGGTGACGTCACTGTGCGGGATGACCGCAACGGTAACGGCAGGGCCATAACCATGGGAGACGTGGCTGAGAGGGTGTTTGAAGCCGCAGCCACATGGAGAGCGAGACACCGGAGGAGCCGACGCCGAGGCCAGAAAATAAGCATGAGAGGCGGCTCGGCATGGAGCCTGGGAGCCGGATGGCGGGCGGGCGATGGAAGGTGAGTAGCGATTCCTGGTCGCGAGGGACCGGCGTGCGAGAAGGCTGCGACGAGCGTAGCGCGCATGGCGCAGAATCCTAAGGGCGGCGGCGCGCCATACGGAGGCCTCGGGAACGGGGGGGGGGGAGCGGCGCGGGACTGTGCTGCGATCACTGACCTGCCACTGCGTGGGACCGTGAGGTTGGCGCCAGAGCGCTCGATCTGCCCCTCAGGATGAGCGTGCTCCACCCATGTGCCGCGCCGGTCGTCCGCGGAGGGCGGACCGGCGGCATTTGCGGGGACGTGCTCCCACTCGGCGGTGTCATCGGGGTGTTCGGGCTGTGCGCCCGGCGCTCGTGGAGAGGCCTCATCGTAATCCAGCTCCTCCGTTTGGGGGTCGAAGTGATCCGCCTGAGCGGGTGCACACGGCGAACCATCAGAGCGCTGTGCGCGCAGGGCGGTCGAGCCCGCGTGGAGCGGGTGCGCCAGGGGCCTGGGCCCGGATGGCTGTACTGAGGGCGGGTTGACCGCTGTACGTCAGGGAACTACCGAGCCGCTGCCGGAGGCACATGAAGGCCGGTAGGGCTGGAGCCGTAGGGGTAGCGCCCGGCCGCGGAACGCCTGGAAGGGGCGGGGGGAGGGCCCCTGGCGCAATCGGCCGGCGAGCCCGGGGCGCGATCGACCGGCTCGTCGACAGGGCTGACCGTGTCGATCCGGGCGCGGTGTGCGCGGCCAGGCGTGAACCTCGTGCGCCGCCAACCGGGATGGGGCCGAGCGCGAACAAGGCGGGCGCGGGCGAAGTGCGCGACGAGCGCCGGCGGCGAGAGCCGGGAGGCGTAGCCGCCGCGGGGCGCGAACGGCGCGGAAGGGCGGGCCGATGCCGGCGACCCGCTGCAAGCAACCTAGCAGGAAGGAAGACCGCAGGGCGCCGATGCCGCTGGGGTGATGGGCCGCGATGCCGCCGGGGGCCGCGTGCAAAATCTCTCCGCTTCCCGCTATCGCGGCCTGCCTTCCCCGCCGCCTTGCTTACCATCCCTTGGGCTTGCTTCCGCGGTGGGCTGGCGGCAGCGGCCACGCTAGGTTATGGTCCGCAGCAACTGACGCGAGGAGCGACAGCCGCGATCGCTGTGCTGTGCACTTTATTCCATCAATCGCGGGTCATGCGCGTCCGCGCCCCTTAATTTCCTTTAATCATGTTAAGAATGTCGCTCAGTGTTTGGTGTACTTAGTACTCAAGCACCGCATTGGGCTGCTCGCTGTCCTCCTCAAGGGAAGCACCGCCAACCCGGGCTGAGGGACGCTGAGAATTCATGCTGGGGGAACCTCGAGAAAGAAGGCCACAGTTTCCCTCCGCCACATGCGGCTATGGTGCAGTGTTCACAGACTTCCCTTGAAGAAAATCAGCGCGCAGCTCACCACCAAGTGCCCGCCGGCATTTCACCGTTGATGAAAATGACAAGAAAATTTAGTATATTCCTTGGTGGGCGCTGTTCCACGCGCATTCAAAAGGCTTCCACGACACATTTGCCGATATTCATACACCATGATTCAACAGTTCGCAAGGTGGCCTTTCACACCAACAAGCGACATCAAGATCAACTGCACTCGAGCTCCCAGTTGCAGAGTTTGCCTGTAACACAACCTGTGTGCACCAGCTCAGTGCTTGACAGGGCAACAGAAGTAAAAACGTCGCCGCTCCTTCGCATACTGCCATGTTCACAGGCCTTGATGCACTTGTCAGACGAACCTGCATCAGACAAGGCTGACCCCACATCCAAAAAGGCTCAAACCGTCAATAGGCAGGCAAGATGCCAATTTAAAATGAAACTCGCACAAAATAGGTTTGTGACATGTGTGTGCAATCTGGCTGGCATGCTGTAGAACCTGCTACCTAAGATTCACGCTAGAAGAGAACATATTGTCCCCCCAATCATACCACCATTTTTAAGCACATCAGTTTTGTATTCTCCTCCTCGACGACCTTCGTGAGGTCACATCCACACCATCTGCTCTTCTGCGCTTGTCAGCCGCAGCACTGCCTTTGGGCGTCTGCCTGATCTGTTTTGTCCACCACAGCTTTCTGCCTTTGTGGAAGAGGCACATGTCTTGGTTGGAGAGCATCGCCAGAGCCCGCCTGGGATACACAATCCAAGGTGGCATTGGTGTCGCAAAGATCCCAACAGGGTGAAGAACAAGACATCACTGTGAATAACACGTGTTTGTCCGTTAGCGTAACTTAGTATTCTGCTGAGTTTTTGCAAGAACAATAATGTTAGATTCTGGCAAAAAAATTGTGCGTGGACCAGACATAATTAAAGTGGAGTGCACACTGATTCAGTTTGTTTGTCCCGTTATATCCTGTAGCAGCAGTGGCAGTTTCTGTCCAGAGACCAGTGCAGAACCCAGATACAACATTTCATATCTTTGGGTGATGTCAAGTCTGTGTTCGCTGTGTGACTGAACATTTCGACAATGAGGATTGCAGGAATGCAGCAAAACGGAATTGACGCCAAGGATATCAAAAATCCTGCACTTGAGATGCACCTGGACTGGAGAAGTGCGGCTACCACAGATATTAAAAACCAACATGAAAAAAGTTAGAAACCTGCCCATCAGGTAGCAATGTTGCACCTTTTATGCTCAATCCCAACTGTTGCACCAAATTTGAACACAAAATTCTGCACACTAAAACCATTTGGGGGATCATGATGTATGGCTGGGGTCAAAAGGTATACAAGCTGCCAAAATGTAGGAGACAGGGCAGGGTTGGTCCAAGTTTGGGATGGAGAACAATGCCTTCAGCACAAGGACAGTGTACCACACGATTGCTTACTTCACTATTCCCAATTTCACAGTACCAATGCAGTGATATGTCAGCAAATAACCATGAAACAGAGATCACATCTTACTCGACTGGTGAGCATGGCTCAGGTGGGTGCTCATCATGCAGCAACCCCTCCATAGCGCAACTCCAGTCCCTGGCTGTCACTTCTACTTTTCGGTCATTGGTCTCGAGGACAGAGAATAGAAAAGTCCTGAAACTGCGAAGCTGGGCACCCTCCCTTGCACATTTCTCCTTGAAACCATCCCAGAAGTTGGTAACCTGGCCATCTGGCAAGTCGCCTGTGCCACACCACAAGCACAGAAGTATTGCAGAGTACAGTGTGTACAGAATGCAACAAGCAAATAGGTCAGCAGAACGTGGAAGAATGGCAGAGATATTCTTCTCTGCTTGCTTCACTTGCTATTGGATTATGCTGGTGTCACGGGCACAACATTACACTGCATCAGAACTGAAGCTGCAACATGGTCCGTGCACCATTCAACGTTATTACAAACAGCAAAGGAGCACAATGCGCATGCACGTTGCTATCAACACAGAGTTGGATGTGGCTGCAACATAGGTCAGTTGTGCCATTTTCTAGACTCCTGCAGTCTTTTAGATTGCACCAACAACTTCCCGTGTAGTCATGCACAGGCCTGGTTTTTACGCCGTAAAAACTGAACGTATTTACGTTTTTACGCTTAAAATAGTTTACATTTTTACGCATAAAGGCGCGTGAAAATACGTAAATACAACGTAAATACAGTCCCATGTACATAAGGACAGTACATACAGAGTTGGGGTGTCCAGGGAGTGGCAGTCAGGGGCGCTGGAATGGGTAGAAAACGAACTTTTGTTCCATGTCGTCGTTGCCCTTGCTGAGGACGAGGTGGGCACTGTGTTGGGGGTGCTGGAGATGGCGCAGGGCTGATCATTGTACGTGACTTTCATTGTGTAACCTGGCTGTCCCAACGAGCCGTAAAAGCATAAAAACAACCATAAAAATAGCCCCTTCCGCAAATTTACGTTTTCACGCATAAAAACGCAAACGTAAAAACGTAAATGTAAGCGCAAAAACCAAGCCTGGTCAAGCAGCCATGCAGACCAAGCAGTCCCCATGTTCTCATGCAAGGTGTCCAACCTGGCCAAGCCCTACCGAATTTCATGTTGTGTGTATTCTCAGGATACCCCATTTTTATCAAGAAGACCCCAACCCTCTTCCTGCCCTCTTTGGTCCAACTCTTGAACAGTGGGGCCAAGGATGGCGACAGGTGTAGAGTCTGCAGCAGTGACGAGTGTCGCAGAAAGGGGAGGTCGAAATCATCAAGTGGCCTGTGGTTCCACATCGTGAAATGTGTTAATGGAAGCGTAGCAAAAGAGGAATCTATGGGAGTGCGAAGCACACGTTTGAGTCTGCTTGCATCACAGCCAATTCAAGTGCATACTCAAAAGGTGGCCTGACACGCAAAGGGACAGGAATTGTCACAGTGAGGATCCACTGACCTGACTTCCTCTGTTACTGGCGGATTGAAAACTGCAGCCTTGGCAAAGCACAAGAGGCTTCAGTCGACTGCGATGTCAATGGAGTATCTCACAATAGGTGCATCAACAGACAGCACATGCCACTGGTAGTAGATGGGAAAACACATGTTTGGAAATAACAACAGCAACATGGCACAAGCTCTTCTTTTCAGATACAGTGGCTCAGATGTAAACGAGTATTCCTTGATCAATAAATTTTAGATAAAGAGTCCTATTTCGAGCTGTTGCCAAGGAGCTTACCTGCTTTCTGAGATTATTATGCAGACCAATCATCCGCTCATCGGATGCGTCTGATCGTAACTCTTCAATGCCAACCATGGCCGTTCTGGCGCCACCAGCAACACCCTCATGAGCACAATGTGATCATTCACAAGAGACACAAGAGGCTATGTCTGTGTCCAGTGCTAGAAAGTCTTTCACAAGCCTGCATCCTGGATCTCACATCCTGAATAGGACAACATTGTCTAACTAAAACAACATCTTCACTTGGGTGTGCACGTGCAGATACTGGCCAGTTTTCCAATACATATGCATGCCGAGAATGCCACTTTGTGTCCAAATTGCAGATGAATGGCATGGGGAACTTGGCAACAATGAAACTAAACCAGTCATGCTCTTCAACATCCAAACTTGCCTAGTGCCCCAATGCGGAAAATATCCAAAACAATATCCAAAACAAAAACTGCATGTGACCCTTTTCATGTAAATTTGGTGAGGAGCCAGTTTCGAGAGTGAACACTGCGATGCCCAGATTGTCATATGTCGATGAACCAACCAGTGCTTGACAGTGCACAAATTTTCATGTCTTCTGAAGTCTGTTCATTGTACAGCGATCCCCACACCTGGCTGCAAAGTTTTGAACTGCAAAGTTCGCATCCTGGACAATGGGGTACCAGACCGGTACTGGTGAATCCATATGCGGTATGCACTCCGATCGTAATGTGTGTGCGAATCTAGTATAAGCAAGTCCATGAGGACTGTGTCTAGCAGGTTTTAGCGAAAAATCTGATACTCACTGCAACATCTTTCTTGTTGCGCTCCTCTTGGCATGTGCAACAGCCAGCGCACTCATTGCAGCTGTTCTCCTCACTGCAGACATCGATTGCAGACAATCCATCAATTGGAGCCATTGACCACTGTTGATTATGCATTTCGGCAGTGGCACAAGGACACACCTCCCTTGCAAAAGTCAATGCCGACCACAACTTGCTCATTTCTGTGGCTCATGGAGTGTAGTTCAAATGGTGATTCCTCCTTGCAACAGGCATATGATGGCGAAGTGGCGATCTCTGTGGTTCACCGAATGCGAATCACACAGAAACAGGCGCATGATGCAGCAGCAGTTTCCATTTGAGCCTGCCAGGCACACCTTCTTCTTCCCCTTCGTCCGGCGTCCCATCCAGGGTGAACACATCGACCTCAGGAATGGTCAGCTGCTGTCGGCTGAACTCCCTGTGGTCCAAAATGAACACGGACGCGCCTGTCCAGAAATCCACGCCGGACAGCTCGCTGGGGCTCCCGCAGTTCACAAAGACAAGAGTGGACAGCCGCTGGTTAGGTGACACCGAATTGGCAGCCTGTGAACCAGATGTGGCAATTAAACGGCTCAGTGGCATGCACACAGGCCGAGAGGGAGGGGAAGAACGACATCCCCTGCAGAAGCGATGGCTATTGAAACAGGGCCACTGGTCTGCATCTTCTTGCAGGCGAGCGAGCCCCCTGTTTTCCTGCGTTGGGCACGTAAGACAAACACAGGCATAGGCACAGCCCGCCCAGAGGGAGACGGAACATAATAATCCTGCTGCCTGAACGTTGTCCTCCTGGATTTTCACAATGGTTGATGCCTTCAGCCCGACGGGGGAGCTGCGTCTGCGCACCTGCGTCTGCTTCTCCAGCTGTTCCCGGAGTTCCTCGTTGGATGACACCGGGCAGAGAGCCTGAGGTCCCGCCACGTTCAGCAAGTCCAGAAGCTCCTGAAGTTCAGAAGCGCAACAGATGCACAGCCCACCAACCGCAACGTCCACGAGAATTGCCCCGCGACACTCCCTTTTCAGCCGAATGCCGCACGGCTTGATAGAGGGCCATCGGGCATGCAAGGGCCACTTACGAACAGAATGAGGGAGGCGCACACGGCATCAGTGCTGGTGGCGTTGAGGAAGACCAGGACGCCTTTTCCGCGTGGAAACGCCGCTGCGAAGCGAGACACAGGCATCCTACAGCGTCCACCGCCTTCGCGCAGGCCACTCTTCCATTGTTTCTGGCACCAGTTGCTGGCACGGGGTCCAGCGGTGGGCCCGCGGTGGCTCCCTAATTAGGGAGTGTTCGAATTACTGCAAACGCCCAGGTTAATGACCAGCTGTGCCGTTTTGTTCTCCACGACTGGGTGCCGCACACCACCATGGTGTCACTCCGTCGGGTGGCCCCAAGCAGGCGCAATAGGAAGGTGGGAATGCGTTAAAAATAGCACGTGGAAGCAAAATGCAGGGCGCTGCAAAATGCGCAGAATAGCTGCATCGATATTGGACAAAACCAAAAAGCTCGCAGTGAAATAGGCAAGGGCCTGTGGTTTTCAAAAATACGTACGCGTCGATGACGCGCTGCCAAATGCCTGAAGTTGTGAGGAGTGTTCAGGCAATGAAAGACAAACTGGAACCAGCCATTACCTTAGTGCTTGAGTCCTTAGTGCTTAACGTGACATCGTGTTCAATATCAACAAGTGTTGGTCAGCAGATGTCAGAGTGCATTTTTGGAGCTTGCAACTGGTCTGCTCGCGGCCCTGCCAGGAGGCGCGCTGTAAGTGCCTGCGTGAGTCAAATGATCCACCACCTCCGGGATGAGCGGCACCCTTGGGGGGTAGCGAGCACACTGGGCGCGACGAAGTGGTGCTCGGCTGAGCTGCAGCTTTCCTGCGCCGAGATTCCGTGGTTCCGGGCCCTACCCCCTGTGGCCAACTGGCTCCCACCTGCATCAGCGTTCCTGCAAGCGCCCAGTACGGGCAGGCCGATGCAGCGAAAATGGACCCATAATGGCACTGATCAAGCGGTTTAACTGAATTCACCTCTTCATGCATCGCGCCTCCACAGCTGAGGGCTGCTCTGAATGCCCTCGCTGCAGCCCGGAGGCCCCGTCGAGCTGCGAGGCACCGCGGGTCCCGAGGTAAGCGAATGGGGATGGCGCCCAGTGCCCGCGCGACCCGGGCCTGGGGGCTGTGCGCTCCCCGGGCGGTGCGTTCCAAGTGCCGGACCATTTGCCCAGCGCGCCCATTCAGCGTGTCTTACCTCGGCAGAGAGTGACCCCTGCGACGGCGGGCGGCGCTCGCATTCTGCTCCCCCATCTTTGGGGCGGCCTGACGTGGGGATGTCCTCAGAGGTCGCGGCGCGCAGTGGGTGACTCTTTTGCGCTGTGGGCCCCCAGACCCGTGTAGCGGTTGATTGCCGCGCGGCCCGTAGCCCTCGCCGGGGCCCTCGTGCTGCCTGTGCGTTGCGTGCCCCCGCCCCCCCCGGCGTCGCCGGCGGTCCCTTCGCAAAGGAAGCCTCTGGGGCCGGCTGGGGTGCCTTGGGATGGCCGGCCATGCGGGCACCTGTCGCTTCAGACGTCCGGGGCGCCGATTGTGACGGCCGCATATTGAGGCGCCCGTGTCCCGCGAGTACATCGTATGGGGTGTGCCCGCCCTCGCCTCGCCGGGTACGCTGCGTCCTCCCGGGCAAGTGCCGGCGAGGACGGTTTGCGACCGCACGCTTCACGCTGACCTCGCGTCCGCCGGTCGTGCCCGTTTGTGCCAGCGCGGGTTTGTTCCGGTCGGTTTTCCGACACCGGCGGGATGGCGGTCGAGACGCGCGGTGGACGCACGCTGGGCCGAGGCTGTGCCGGCCGTGCGGTCCGTGGGGCGCCTGTGGCGGGCAGGCGGAGGGACGGACTTGGGCTCTTCCGCAAGCGCATGGAAACTGCCGCGTCCGACGCGCCCCCAGGTCGCCTTTCGAAGAGGGATGTGTGTTTGGATGTGCTGCTCGCGAATTTCTCCAGAACTTGAGGCGTTGTATCCATGCCTTAGCAGTGCTGCCAGTTTTCGGTGTCGAGGGTTGGGCCCGACGGCGGTGCCCCTCTTGGCCGAGCGGCAGCGGCCGGCGTCCGGTTCACCCCAGCGCGGGTCTGACGATCAGATCTCGGAGATCCCTCGCCCCAAAACTCGTTTCAACAGTCCAAACAGGGCAACCGCGCTGAGGGTCGTCTGTTCCGCCGTTCGGGCGCGGCCGCTCGACCCCGCGTCAGCGCAAGGGCGCACGGCGCGATTGGTGCGCAGCTGTGAGGAGCGGCGGCCAGGTGCCTGCGGCGCCCTGCCGCCTACCGAGGAGGGTTCCAAGCGCCAAGGCTTATGGGGCAGGACGGCCTGGAAGTCGTCGCGCACCGCGTCGCCCTTCGCGCCAAGCCCCCAGGCGCGGTGGCCGCTTGTCGCCTGGCCCCACCGCACCCTGTCAACCACGCCGCAGATGGCACTTCAATTGCCGTACGGTTATTGCCGTCCGACATGCGTGTCATCGTTCGCCGATCGGCGAATTGGCCACCGCGCTGATCCGCTGGGCGCCTTGAGGGCTCGCGCCTGAGCGCCTCGCAGTCGCCTCTTGAGCGGGGCCGGGAGGGCTGGGGGCGGTTCCGTATCGAGGCTGCGCTGGCTCCGAGGCGCGGAGGGGGCTGGTGGGATGCACAGCAACGGTCCCGGAAGTGCGCGCTGCGCTCGATGGTTGATGCGGCGGCCTGTGCGAATGTCGATGTTACACAGGCGTGGAGTGCTGGCCGTTTTTACTGGCAGCGGGAGATTGCGCTCTGGCGGCGGCTTGGGAATCTTGCGGACTATGTGGATTGGGCGCGTCTTTAAGGGCAGCTCGCCGGTGCCCAAGATGCCGCGTGAATACATCGTAGACCCCTTGGGAAGGTGCTTGCCCGGACGTCGGCCCGAGCGGTGTCGCTGAAGGCTGGGCTGCGACTGCGGGCTTGTGTAAAGCCGGGACGGGCGTTTGAGACGTGATCCTGTGCCCTGCTTGCCTTCGCTGCAGCTCCGGCTGGGCTGATGCCGCGGATCACGAGCATCCAACCGTTCGTGCGCGACGGCCTGAAGATGCAGTAGCACAGTGTTGTTAGAAGCGTTGTTTCTGCGCATGAATGAGACGCCCGCGGTGGATGCCATCGCAACATTGTCAGATGGCTGTGATGGTGGTTACGCTCTTGTCCGCCTGAGCCGTGGGAAGCAAGTGCCTGACTAGTTGCTGGGTTGGACTGGGCTCCTTCCTATGATTTTGGTCGGCGCCGAACTTAGCACAACTGGTTTAGGGGCCTTGCCGCGTGTTTGTTACGCAACATCGCCGTTCCTTCGCTCTTCCAAGTGCTCACAGCCGAGCTTTATGTGGGCTGAGCAGGGACCCCCGAGGCAGCAGGAGCACTTGCCCAAAGGAGCTCGTGACACCTGTTGCTGGTGCCGAGCTTGGGTGATTGGCTGCTGAAGGGAAAATTAGCAGCAGCACTCACAGTGAATTGAGGTCAGGCACACCAGCGCCTGTCCTAATTCAAGTTGGCTGCGCTCTGGTGCTGCCATAGTGCAGCTCCCCATCCTGTGGGTGGGGCCAGGCGTTACCAAGTGCCAGGATCTGCGTCAGGCGGCGTGAACTTCTGCAATCATGCCGAAGCAGAGCTATTACACTGGCAAGGCAGGACTCCTTATGTGGGTCAACGACATCTTGGAACTGAACGTGTCGAGCTTCGACGAGTTCTCCAACGGTGCAGTGTACTGCCAGATGATGGACGCATATTTTGAGGACTGCGTGAGCATGGCCAGGGTGAGCATTGATGTTTGCAGGTGTACCCGTTTGGAAGGAAATATGAGGGGAAAATCCTTGCACGCTTATGCGTGTGGACGTTTTGATTGTCGCTGTGAAGGTGCTGAGGTGGTGCCTTTGTCGATTTCAGTGCTTCACACATAATTGGGTCCCTTGTGGCAAATTAGATATGGGGCTGTGTCCTGGCTTCTATTGTACATGTGCAAAGCTGTGTTTGTCCAGGGCTTAGATTCTGCTGTTGGTGTGGCTTGTCCCACAGGTGAATTTTCATGCGGTGAAGGACTACGAATCCTTTGCCAATTTCAAGATTTTCCAGGCAGCCCTGGTGTCTGCTGAGCTGCCAAAGCCGATGAATGTGCAGGTGACCCTTCTTCACACCAAAATCTGGTGACCTGCCCAGTTTCCTGTGGGCTTGCAGCAGTCAGCGGATGCTCTGCTGGCATGGATGCTGAGTATGGATCGTGTCAAACCAACCTGTTTAGGCCGATGGCGCTGGTCTTGTGCAGGGCATCAGAATCGTCATAGTGGGAGAGATGTTTGCTGGAATGAGATGAGACATGACACTTTCTAGTGTCGATGTTCTGTGCAGTACGATAACAGCAGTACCCGCTCGCCTCTTGACAGCTGAGACCTTTTGCTGTGCACTCTTGCATTGGAGGCAAAGGTCAACTGTGTGTCAACAGTGTGCCTACCACCTGTTTTTATCGCCTACACCAATTCTGTTCTGTTTTGAGTATGGGTTTGTGTGTTGCTACCTTCTTCAGGGGCTCATCAAAGGGTCACACAGGGACCATCTGGAGCTGCTTCAGTACTTGTACATGGTGTTGTCCAAGTACTCCACCATTCCTGGATATGATGCCGATGGCCGGCGCCGCCTGACGCCCAGCAAGGGGCTGCAGGGGAAGATTCCCATCCCCATGTTGCGACAAGCCAAGTTTGACGTCCACGGCCGTGTTGAGTCAAGGAAGCTTGTGAACAATGGAGAAAAGGTGAACTTGTGGCTTTGCAAACTTTTGGTTTGTAGTTTGGGGTCTTCAGCTGATGGATTGTCTCACTGTGTCTCCTATTGCCGAGTACAGTTGCTTCAACCTAGACACCCATGCAAACTTAGGAAAAGGGCAGAGCATGATAGAATTCTACCTCACATTTTGATGCAGTTTTACTCACGGCGACAGTCGTTATGCATGTGGATGTATTCGTGCAGTGGCATGAGAGCCACAGGTGTCTGCGCATGTGTGCATGCTCCATCCCTGGAATCCATGTATCAGATATGTGGCACTTGAATTTTTGCCTGACAGTGAGTTCACTATCATCAGGGACGAGAGGCATTGAGGGGAAGGCTGAAGACCCCACCACCCAGGTCAAAGAAGGCGTCCAGGAACCGCCCCTTCTCTCCAGGCAGTGGGATGAGGTATGACCCCAATGCCGATCCTTGCCCATCGCCAAGCGAGGACAGCAGGAGCATGAGGTCCCCGCCCGCGTCGCCAGAACCAAACACCAAGTCCATGGCAATCCCCAGACTGGAGCTGCAGGCCGTACCAAAGTCTGAGGGGACTCCCAACCAGTCACCTCGTGCGTACACAGGAGCGACCCCCGATCCTAATGGAAAGGGGTCTCCTGGCACCGATGTTCTCCTCTCTGAGATCATTCCTCCCTGTCTCAAGTCGGCAAAGCAGGGGGTGCAGGCTTTTGGCCAGGCGGGTCAGACGCTCAGGGCACTGCTGGAGCAGCTTGGGACGGAGCATGACACGTACGCATGCAGAGCAAAGCTGCACAGCCTGAGGGATGCCATGGCTACTCTCATGAGGCACACGAGGTATGCACCATTGAGCTGATAGTGCTTTGGTCTGGTGTTCAGGGCAGGGGGTAAATCTCATTGCGTAGTTTTCTTGGAAAGGCAAGACATCGGCCTTGGCACCCACCCTTAAGGCAATGTGGAGTGCCGTTGCCTCAGAAGTTCTGTTTTTGGTATTGTCTGCAAATTACTTGCTTCAACTGCTGGAGGACGATGCTCTTCAACACAAATACATGGTTTTCCTGTGGGTGGAAAGCAGCCATCACCTTCTCACATCCGTGAAAACCATCGCTTAACTAACCTTGATATTGTAAGGCCACATCTGCACATCTGAACTGACAATTGTCAGGTTGGGGCAGGTACTCTCGACGCTATTGCTCACAAAATATTGGTTTGGGTTGCATCTAAAAGGACAAGAGGACAAGATTTTGGCAATGCCTTGGATCTTAGATGCTGTAGGGCCTTCGGAGTCGGGACACATCTGTCTGTTCTAACAAACTTCATTGCAGTCCTGCCAAACATGGCTGCTAGTTGTTCTGTCAGGCTGGAGCGATACAATTGAGGCCAGAACTACAACTCCTGTTAGACGGTGTTTGCACCAAAATGGGTTAATTCTACCTGTGAGCGGCCTGTAATAGCACCTGTATTATTTCCTCGGCGGCACTCCCGCACACTGCAAGCCTGGTGTCTCATGGGGGGTTCGCTGCTGCTAATGGGATGATAGTGACAGAGTTGGCAATGGTCAACTCCCAGGCTTATGGCTCTTGGAACATTTGGTGATACTTTGTCTTCCTTTCTTTTCCACAGTCTTTTGCTTGACGACCTGGTGGCACCAGTCAAGAAACTGAAAGAGCTGGGAGTGAAGGATGGAAAGACCTTGGAAAAGGAGTCTGGTCACCTTGCCGACCAACTGGCAGGCGGCAAGCAGGTCTTCCAGGATCTTGTCATAGACCTGTCAACTGCTGAGCGGAAGCATCCAGTGCCTCGGGGCACAGGCGAAAGCGGGATCTCAGACCAGCTCAGGGAGCGAACCGAGTCTGATAACCTGGATGGCGCTCTCAGAAAGGTGGGCTTCATCTGTGCAGCGCATTGCTCGTGTTTTATAAGGCGGTATTGCGGGACTCTGAAAATGTTGGTTCTGTGTAGCTGTGGATCGGCCACCAGCTGGGAAGAGCAGTGAAGCAAGAAACTGCTGTGTCGTTTTACCATTGCTCAACCGCAGCCACCATTGAACGTGCCACCACTTATGTTTGGGCAAGGACTGGGGCCGTTGGGGACCAACGAGGCTTCAAAGTCTTGGGTGCATGATTGGCATTTTGACATATAAAGCTGTGTTGTAACTGCACCCACAGGTCGGGGCTGCAAAGGCTGCACTTGCCCGGGCTCTTCAGAAGATAGGTGGCTTTGAGGTCGGTGGCAGGGAGGGTCGTGGATCGAGACAGCTTGATGAGCTTACTGTGGAACTGGGCAAGGAGCTTGGAAATGGTGTGGACCTCGATGAGGGATTGCGGGCACCTCATCCAGAGCGTGTGGAGAAGGTGGAGGAGTCTGAGGCTCACAATCCTGTGAGTGCTTACAGCCCAGACTGTGTTCAGTGTTGTGACTGTCCCCTTCGGTGGTCAGAAATTGCTCTGATTTCAAGAACGTCTGGGATGAGCAGCTGTCCGTATATTGGCACACCAATCACTTGTGACGGTGACCATCCACAGTGCTGGAACTTTCGTCTGAATTGATGGCACATGACTGGGTTTGCAAATTTTTCAAGTTCTTCTGTTACTACAGTCTATGTATTACAGGACATGGCAACTTGGTGGGAATGAGGGCATGTTTGCCGCGCACCAGAATATTCCAGGATTGTTTGCTGATCCCTGTGAGTGCTGTAGTTTAAACTCAACATGTGTGTTGTGCAGCAGCAGGGTGGCTATGGCGATGGTGGGAACCATCCAGGCAGCAACGAAGTGTACAAAGGACAATATGTGAAGAACAAGAAGTGTGGATATGGTGTGTACACATTTGTTAATGGTGACACCTACCAGGGCGAGTTCAAGGACGATGAGATGCATGGATATGGGCTGTACACGTTTTCGCACGAGGGCCATTATGAGGGCCAATGGGTGATGGGCGTGTACGAGGGCCTGGGAACCGAGACTTTTGCACTCGGATCAACTTACCATGGCCAATATGTTGAAGGGTCACGCAATGGCTGGGGTGTGTGCCGATACTACAATGGTGACTACTATGAGGGACAGTGGAGAGAGGGCCTTCGAGAGGGGAGAGGGATGCAGCAGGTAGGTCAACAAATTCTCTCAGGTGCTCTGTACAGCAATCCTGCACATATGGACATACTACTCACAAGAGAACGCCACTTGACGATGAGATAATCTGCAAGTGTGTTGGCGTGTCAAGTTATTTCTGTCAAGTCAATTCTCTCAAGTTGAATCTGTGAGCTTGGTGCCTGCCAACCACTACCAAGTTGAGCACTGAAGTCGCCCACCCCAGCCTCCAAAACGCATCAAAAGAAGTCATGTTGCAATGAGCTTGTGATCCACTCCAATGCAGCATGGTCAACCTCAGTGCTGCCAGATTGCCACCACAAGCTTTTGGGGTTTTGTTGATGGTTCACATCCTGTGGGGGGGGAACATTGGACTGAAACGTCTCAAGTAGACATCACAATAAACAGTGTGAAAAAGTTTTGTCTTTGTTGCTCACTGCACCTTTTGCATGTATTGTAGCTCTCCTAGTGCATTTTGGCAACACACGATTGTTTGTGTGTTTGCAGTGTACGGATGACAGCAACTTTGTGGGCGACTACCTGTATGGGAAGCGCCATGGCTATGGAATCTACAACTTCCCTAATGGAGACCAATACTATGGGGAGTATGTAAATGACATCCCTCATGGTCACGGAGTGTACCGATTCAGCAATGGCCAGAAGTATGAGGGTCAGTGGCAGGGTGGCAAGAAGCATGGGTCCTGTGTGTACACTGTGGAGACGAATGGTGTGTGGGAGAAGTGGGCCGGCGAATGGGAGGAGGGCCGCCCCGTCTGGGTGGAGAGCCTGTCCAAGTGGAGTGACAATCTCACAGGCATTCCTGATGACCTGAGGGCCAAAATGGACAAGGTGCGGGAATAGTTTCATTCTTGGGGTGCATGGTTTCACACGCACAGGTGCAGGCCCGTTATTGGCAAGCGGTGGCTTTGTTTGCTGCCGAGCTTTGGCTTAAATATCCAGTCCACGGTTTTGGGGCCATATGTGTATGGTTGACTTCCTCGTTGTTTCGGTATGGTATAGCCATAGACACGTCGGCGTGGCTGGCACACTCGGATGTGTGGACAATTACCAACCTCAATACAACAGCATGTGTCTGGGTACTGGCACAAATTGCATATGAAGAGAAGCATTTTGAATTGGGTGTAGAGGGTAAACCTAGCCCAAATTGAGGTTCAATCTAGTCCATTCTTGGCGCAGGAAAACCTTGTCCAAATGAAGGATCAACTTAGTCCAAATCGAGTTTCGGTTCTACAGGAAAAAACCAAACCCCTAAAACCCATGTGCTATAAAACGTACAGACAAAACCACTCAAACAACCTTCATGCCCATCATTCCGAAAACGAAGGGTATCAGACATCTGTGCTCCATACGACTGGACTAGGTTGAACCCAATTTGGACTAGGTTGTCCCTCCACTGAGCGTGGACTAGGTTTTTCCCTTTCGAATTGGTCTACGCTATCATATTGCTGGATATGGTATCCTACAATCGTGCAGCATGTGAAGAATGCTTGTATAGCAAAGGAAACATGCTGCACATTGTCGATTTTTTGCTTCAAGGGAGCTGCAGTAATGGCTGCAAGTAATCCCACTGAGCTCTAGGATTGCGCATTATGGAGGTTGCTGTTGAGCGGTGTTCTTGCTGGCTGTCATCAACTTGACTGCTATTCCTTGCAACGGCTGCCCATGATCATGTGTGCTTTGCTGAAATGCAGGCAATGGAAGCGTGCAGCAGGGCTCAGGATGTGGGGAAGATTGGCAAGTCCCGTGCAGAGGAGCACTGGCAGACAGATGGGCGCATTCAGCGTGCGATGCGGGAAGTTGTGCACAAAGCTGACAAGGCAGCGATGCTGGCTCGTCAAGGCCAGAGACGTGCCATGGAAGTTGCTGCAAGGCTTGATGCCTCCGAAGCCAAAAAGAAGTCGAAATCTGCTGGGGTTGGCCGAATGGTCAGATGAACAGCTGGAATTGAACCCCAATGGTGCCTATGTGTGCTAGCAACGTCAGGAGTTGGATGGAGTGAGGAACCTGGGGCTGTACATGATTCAGATGAGAGGCCACACATGGTGTGCCAATTGTTATGTGAATTGAACTCGAATGTTGTTGGAGCTAACAGCCAGCCACAGATATTTGCTGTCCAAGCACTTGTACAGTGCATGGGGAGAATTGGGTGTGTCAACAGGTGCGATCAGTCGCCTGGGTATTGCAACTGTGTTCAGCCTGGTATGACGGAGCTCCACACAAGCATGCGCACTCAGAAAATCTGGATGTGGGATCAGGCAGCCTTCCCAGTTGCCTTATAGATGGAAGTCTTGCACTAGGAGCTTTCAATGTTTTGGGAGGGGGGAACGAGTCAACGAAACAATAGTGCTTGTTTGTGCCATGTGCACACTGTGGTGTGTGTGGGTTGAACTGCCTGCAGCCCAGCCACTTTAGTGTGGATCCTGGGTCTGCAGCTGATCAGAAGCCTGTCAAACTGAAGAGACGATTTTGGATTATTGGCAAGGACAAAAATTGGCTTCCACTGCCACACGGTCTGTGGTTGAACGGCCAACCGACCTGAATCATTTGATCTGCTCCTAGCATGGGCAGTCGATGTGTTTATATCCTGGGGAGTAGATGGGTTGGACATTGGGGATTAGCCAAGGCACAGCTCGCAACATATCTGCACAGCACGGCCCTTGCATGCCGTCCAATAAGGCGAATCGTTGGGAAATAATGCAATTGTAATGAAGAGCTGCCCTTTCTAGAGGGGGACTAAGATTGAAGCCCTGTGTGGAGGGCCGAGGGCGAATGGAGGCTGCTGGTGGGGGCATGGCATCGCCATGACACCTCCAGCGCAACTCCAGCCTTCCCCGAATACGCACAACATTGATTCGACTGGAGGCCGTTTAGACCGCGTTTACAGGTCGGTGGTTTGTCTATATGCATGCAGCTGTGATGGGGGGTGAAGGGCTGTTGGGTTTCTCTTTGTGGTGTCTCAATAGTAGCTGTCACATTTTGATCGCTGACGTGGGCCCAGGGGGCCATGTGCTCGGCTTCAGTGAGAGTACTAGTGACGGGTCTCAGGCTCGCCACCCTGTCACCGCTTGAAGCGCGCTGGTGGGATTGTGCGAATGATGGAAGATCTTGGCAGGAACAGAGGGGTTGCGGAGGTGCTTTGTGCAAGTAACGATGCTCTCGACGAGCTACAAGACAGAGAAGATGGATCAGAAAGCACGCCTCGTGCCATGCGCGTGTCACTCAAATTGTGCGTTGTGGCTGGATGTCAAGGGCGGCAAGTTTGCCATGCCTCTGATGTAATTGTGACATACATCACCACTGCTTCAGTCAGTTCCCTTTCTGTTGACGACGCCTTGATTTGCGAGCCTTTGACAGCTGCCTCACCCCCTGCGGGAGCGCATCTGCGATCAGTGAAGTATCCGTTGTTGGGACTGCCACTGGTGTGGGCTTGTGCTCTGTGCAGGCTCGTGTGTATGCACACGAGGGATGTACCCGCAAGGAAAACACGGCTCAAATCGCAGAGCCACTGTTTGGTATTCAGGCGAATGTGTTGCCAGGGGAGCAGGCAGACAGGTTCCCTGCCATATGGGTTGACGCCCTCTGGAGATTGTTGCCCATCAGCCGTTCGAATCCATTTCCACCTGACCGGTC